TGTTACTTTGGACTTGATACTGCATTCGTACTGACGACTTTGGCTTTTGTTACTTTGGACTTGATACTGCATCCGTATTGACGACTTTGGCTTTTGTTACTTTGGACTTGATACTGCATTCGTACTGACGACTTTGGCTTTTGTTACTTTGGACTTGATACTGCATTCGTACTGACGACATTGGCTTTGCTTTTCTGGACTTTGTGCTGTGAAAATAGTGTGTGAACAACATGCCGGATCTGTACACAGCAGAAGAATATGCAAATATGCATCTTATCTACGGTGAATGCCGTTGTAATGCCTCTGCCGCAGCCAGATTGTATCGCGAGAGATACCCAAATGTGCAGCGTCACCCAGATTATCGTGTATTTCAAAATGTGCATGCGTCATACTCGGAAGGACGATTGCCCAGTGTTCGTACGTCCGGTGGAAGACCGCAAAGAGACTACGACGACATAGTTTTGAATGAAATTCAAAATGACCCCAGCACTTCAGTTCGTGCGATTGAAATAGCAACGGGAGTACCGAAAAGTAACGCTCATCGAATTTTAAAACGATACAAATTACATCCTTATTATGTGCAACGCGTCCAGAGTTTGTTACCACGAGATTACGCACCTAGAATTGATTTCTGCAGGACAATGTTAGCAAAATATCGTGAAGATCCGGAATTCCTAAATAAAATTTTATGGACCGACGAATCAACATTTAAAAGAGACGGGTATTTAAACTTACACAACCTTCATGAATGGCACGTCGAAAATCCGCATTTAATGCGTGAAGACAGATCCCAATACCAATTCAAAGTAAACATTTGGACTGGAATTTTAAACGGACGAATAATTGGACCATGTGAGCTAACTCAAAATTTAGATGGCGCCACCTATTTGCATTTTCTTCAAAACGATTTGTCAAATTTGTTAGAAGACGTACCGCTTAGTATCTACAGAGAAATGTGGTTTCAGCAAGATGGTTGTCCCGCGCACTATGCTCGGGCTGTAAGAGATTATTTGAACGAAAAATATCCTGACAGATGGATCGCACGCAGTCGTTCAATTTTATGGCCTCCTCGTTCCCCCGATCTAAATCCAGTTGATTTTTTTTACTGGGGATGCATAAAAGAAAAAGTCTATTCGAAACCTATACAAAATCTATCAGAACTTCGCCAGAAAATTGATGCAGCGTCATAAGAAATAAATGCAAGGAATTTTGCACGACTGGTGAAAAGGTCTTTTGTAAGGCGTTGCAGAGCCTGTATTCGTGCCGGAGGAAGACAATTCGAACATTTACTTTAGTTTAACCTTCAAGCGGGCGCGCGGTCTTTTGTAACGGGAGCGGGCGCGCGTAACCGAATAGACCTATGGGATGAATAAGACCAAGAAAGCAATAATTATGGGATAATCATTTATTAATTTGTACTAAGATACAATATCATTGTCTTTAAAGAGAAATTTGTCACAACAAGTAATTAAAATTATGAAAAAGAAGCAATTATTAAGTCACCTAAAGTAACTCAAATATTCTTTGGATCAAAATAAAAATTAAGACCCGTTTACATATGTTAGGTTGGTTTATATACGTAGACCAAAAAATAAATAAAAAGTAAGGATAAAACTGTAAAAACTCATTAATTTTGATTTTATTTTCGTCTGAGTCAGTATTCTAGTAATTTTTCAGATTTTGCTACTTCGTTACTTTATCGCGTCCTGTAAAACAGCTATTTATTTCCGAAACCTACAAATTATTCTCATCTAAATCCGACAAGGATGATATCACATCAGATAGATGTTCTTCTAAAACTATGTGATGAGAAGTTTCAGAGCCTTGGTTGCTAAGCTCTGATTCACTCTCTTCTTCGTCTTCTCTTTGTAATTCCTCGATTACTGTACTTTGCGATAACCATAAACGACTTATTTTAACAAAAAATGCTTTAAAACACCAAAACTCCAAGCTGAATTAGATAATATTGACATGTGTATGTCGCGTTGGGCGTCGCGCGTAACCTATTCGACGACAGGCGCGTGTAGTCTTTTCAACGACTGCGCCAGAGCCTAAAAAAATGTAATTTGTGGAGTGTAGAGAGCGCTTCAAGCAACGAAATAGTTTTTATTTTACTCCTAAAAAGATAGTGACAGGCTACTAGAAATAAGAAATGCATGTGGCAACTAAAAATAAAAATACGAACGAAAATGAATTAACCGCGGTCGATTCGACTACGCGCGCCCGCTTGAAGGTTAAGGAGAATAATTAAATAAAAAGTTTTACGATGGTTCGTTCATTGTTTTTTTTTTTCAATTATAATTACCTATTATGTTATTTCCAATAAAAATTGGTTATTAACTGACTCAATTACCTCTTTACTAAAAATAATAATTTTATTTTAGACCAGAAACAAAAAATAACAAATTTTAGTAACAAAAATTCCTAATGTTGAGTTGTTCAAAATGAGCTCAATTTGAAAAAAATAAGAAATAAAATTTATAAAGGCAAGAAAAGTGGCAAGTGTTGCACCATTTTAAAATCTTGATTAAATGCGCCATCTTTTGAAATAACTTGTCAAGGGTAGTGTAGTACATTTTTTTTCAATATGAAGTGTCAAAGTTAACTATAAATATTTTTGTGAACGATTACTCACTAAAACTTAACTTATTTTATTAAATTAACGATGTTTTGCATTAATTTGTAGTTGCGATGAACAGCATATTTAATAAAGATCACAAAATTAAAAAATCACTGCGAAATTGTGACATTGGTGATCACAGGACATGAAAACGCGACCAAGGGTGTCGAATTTCAACTTTTTATTTAAATTGTCTATTATCGCTGAACTGAGTGATATGGATTTTTTTTATTATTTTTCCCAGAACTGGTATAACTTGGCTTTTCATCCGGTCTCAGATTATCGTTGAGTTTTGGGACACCCTGTATATTTTGTAGTAATAAAATGAAACATTAGGTATACCAAGATGGCGACTACACAAAGTTGAGGGTGCAGCTGAGGGTGGTAAAACCTGTACTGTCAAATATAAATCCAAGATGGCGGCTGCACAACATTTTCAACTTGTCGTGACATAAAAAGGATACTCATGAGTATCGTTTTTATGATTGTCGAGGGTGGTAGTGGCCCGATGGGAATGGTAAAATGTAAATCCAATTACGTTCGAGTTAAAATTTCACGAAAACGACCCCCATGACGAAAAGCTGAAAACCTTGTGCAGTCGCCATTTTGGATTTACATTTTGACAACACTATCAGTTTCATTACCCTTGAAAACCATGAGAACAACACCGAATGAGAAAACAATATTATTATGTCAAACGACGTTGACCGTGTTAAAGGGCATTGACTAAAATTGGTGCCTTTCTTTTTCTGGCGGCAGTCGATGATTTATGGAAAATATTATCTAGAATGACATTACAAACGAAATTGTGTATGGGCTTATATATGGAAATCTCAGTCTGGACCGAGTTAATAGCGTTGAAAGGAGCTGAAGTCGAACATTTTACTTTGGTTTTTTATTAAAATTATTCATATTTTTGTCACAATCCCTATCTTCAAATTGCGCGCCACTGTACGCCGTGTACAGGAACACCATATTATACCACAATATAACCATATTGCCGGGCATATCATTATATTCCTTGAAATCGTTTATAATCATTTATTACAAAATATTTCTGTACAAGTAAATGAAGAAATATGCGTTGTGTACGGTCATCATCAACAAAATAACAGGAATAATATAGCACTATTTTCACATCTTTGAACTGATTTAACTCGGTTTGGACTGTGTTTTTGATATAAGGCCCCATATATTTTTTTGCTTGTAATATTATTCTGCTTTAGTTTTTCCACATCCGATCAACTGCCGCGAAAAATTGAAAAGGCATCACGCTCCATACAAATTTGGTCAGTCATTTTGTAACTATAAATTAGACATAATGATTACTCTGTGATATTACGGCTAGCTATTATTGAATAACGCATAGCTCCGAAAACTATTTGGCTGATTTTGACACAGCCGTATTCAATCCGGCTTATCGTTCAACCGTTGTATTACAAAACGTCACTGGTTTGCTAAGCGACTAGCCGTGATGTAATACGGTGGAGATTACACAATTCGCCTGCGACAGTCCTTCGAGCCGGATTAAGTCACCAAAAATTTTGAGTATTAATCATAATGATTGCTCAATGCGGGTTGGCGATTAATAAATAAATAAAATAAATAATTATTAAACGCACATATAGTTTCATAAACTGAACTTATAAGCTAGTAGTGAATAAGGTAGCAGAAAGTAGAATTAATGCGTAGCGTTGACTAGTAGATGGCGCAACACTCCGCTAAAAGTAAAAAAAGTGTTTTTTTTTATATTCAATAGTCTTACGCCGGAATATTGAAACGTTACACAATTTTAAGTCGCGCTTAAGTATAGTTCTGTCTCTACAAATTCTTTGTGAAATGACAGAGATGGCACGATATTTAAGCACGACTTAAAATTGAGTAACGTTTCAGTATTCCAGTATTAGTTCCTCTGCACGTTGTTTCTTAGTCGTGTTATGTTAGTTACGCTTACGGCAGAATTTAGTCGTATACGTAAGCATTGATGAAGTGTAAGTAGTGTAGGTAACAGAACGCTCACTTGTAGACCATGCCGTGGCTGACCACGATGTTGTCGTCGTCGCCGCCCGACGCGAACAGAGGGTACCGGCGGTGGAACGACACCGACCGCACCGCGCCCCCGTGCAGGCGGAGCGTCTGGTACGGCCTCGACGACAGCTCCAGGTCGAACCTGCAAGCGACAGCATGTAGGCGCGCGCCGCGGCCCGGGCGACCCGCGGCGCGCGACTCACCATATGCACTTCCTGTCGTAGGAGCAGACCAGCAGGTTGTCCCCGGCCGGGTGCACGGCCATGTGGCTGATCCACTGCGCGCCCGTCTGCAGCTTGCGCAGCAGCTCCTGCTTCAGCAGGTCGTACACGCGCACCGCGCGCTGCGTGGCCACGAACAGCTGCGGCCGCGTCGGGTGGAACACGGCGCACTGCACCAGCCCCT